TATAGTATCAAATAAAAAAGATAAGTCTTTTCTTATTTTATTCTCCAGATACTTCATCAATTATAATGCTGAAGATGACAGATTTTTCAACATTGATGCCAATACTGGAACCATTAAGACTACAAAGGTTCTTGACAGAGAAGAAACTCCTTGGTACAACATCACAGTTGCTGCTTCAGAAGATGGTAAACTACTTTACTTTATGTATCATAGGAAAAGATGTCACCTGTACGTGGAGACTTATACTGAGATTTCCTTGAGAGCAGGGCTCTCTCCATTTTTTATTTTTGATGTCAGGATGTAGCATAATACACAGAACATATTCAATATAATTACTCATCATCAGATGCAGTGAATAAATCTATTATCTTTTTCCTTACTTAAATCCCATCATAGTGATGGAAAATTGGCATCACAGAACACTTAGTCCTCATTCCTGAGTCAGGACATTTGGTTCTCCTCCTAACAGTGAGAACTGCATTTTCCTTTGCTTATGCCTTACTTAAGCCATCAGGGTACTTCACATGTGGTAGTTTAGAGAAAAAAAAAAAAAAAAAGAAAGAAATGAGGAATTTAATTGCACTTTGATTATTTTATAAATATAATACTGCTGCTTAATCTTCAATTAATACTTACAGAATTTTAGTAAAAGAATGACTCTTGGAATGTCAACAGCCAGGTCTAAGCACTCTTCAAGAGAAGTATATGACATAAAGCTGAGGAAGGCTCTTGTTCCACCTCCATCCAGAATTTTGCATTGTGGTAAACACCTAAGCTCAGGAACAACAACAACAAAAAACACGCATAAATAAAAATATTTCTGAGTTCGTAAAGGTAGATATGACTGTGCTCAAATTAAATTAGAATATAACTTTAAGAAAATGCATACGCTGTCATGACAATAAAGATTTTCTTTATGTTGGAAAGTAAACCAAAGGTACCAATTATTCCCACTTTAGAATTGTATATGGAAATTATATCTGCATTTAGGAAAGATTTCAATGTATTCATGAGAGAACTATAAATATATCAGGGATTAAGGATACTTCACACTTGAAACTAGTGCTACATATATTGAAAGTATGTTCTCTTTTATTTCCAGAAGGTATAGAATATTAAAATTTTTTTAACATATTCATTGGTATTTGGTTCACATAGCATGTGATTTGCCCTTTGAAAGTGCATAATTCAGTAGCTTCTAGTATACAGAGTTATGCATCCATCACCACAATCAATTTTAGAAACATTTTTATTACTTCAAAACAATCCTTCACCCCTTAGTCCTCAACCCCAAGTATCCCCCTCCCCAAGCCAGGAAGGCCTTAATCTACTTTTTCTCTATAGATTTGCCTATTATTGATATTTTATATAAAAGGATCATATAATATGTGTCTTTTGTGACTGGTTTATTTTACTTAGGATTTTGTTTTCAAGATACATCCATATTATAGTATGACTCCTCAGTACTTCAGTCCTTTTTATTGCCAACTCTTCCATTTTGTGAATATATCACATTTTATGTATCCATTCATCTCTTGATGGACATTTGTGTTGTTTCTACTCTTTTCCTAATATGAATAATATTGCTATGAGAATAAAGGTGAAAGTATTTGTATGAAAATGTTTTCATTTCTCTTGGGTATATACCTAGGCATGAGACTGCTGGTAACTCATGTGGTAACTGTGTGTTTAACCAATTGATGAACTGCCAGACTGTTGTCCAAAGTGGCTGCACCATTTTGTACTTCCAGGTTTCCAAAGTCTTCATGTTCTCACCAACATTCATTACTGTCTTTTTGATTATAGCCATTGTAGTGGGCGTGAGGTGCTGCCACAGTGTGGTTTATGTGCTTTTATATTGCTCTTTGTTACACAGCAATCATAAGGCTTCTTCAGTCTTTTCTATTCTACCTGTATTTCTTATGATTTTGGCATCTGCAAAATCAGCTAAGGTGGCCTCCATTCAGATTATTTTATTAACATAATATTCTCTTTGAAAATAAGCATTTGCTATTTAACTTTAAAAGGATGTTATAAAGAAACCGTGAGTGGGTTAATTTGTGATCATTCTGGTTTATTTTCATTTTCAAAATAGCCAGACTAGGCATGAATTTGTGTGTCCTTAGTTACTCTAGGACAAGTAAATGGCTGTTGTATAATAAAGATTCATTAAAATTCAGTTGAAAAAAGAAAAGAATGAATGGGTTAATATAACCAAAAAAAAAAAGAATTGATGAGGACATTGAGCAAATCCTTCAGAAAAGAGAATCAACTCTAAAGGTATTTCAATGAGAAGCTATACATTAGTTCTTATTCACTACCTCAGTCCAATTAATATTTGTAGCAGGTAGAAACTAATTTATGAATACATATGAGTACATATATACCATGAAAATTATACTGTCTGCAATCATTATCACAGGAAATAATTGTTTTTACTAAAGTAACATTCTAATTATATACTTCCTGGGTAATTTTTTTTTTTTTTTCCAAATGCTAATACTTCATATGGGGATTGAGTGAAGCTATTACTCTATCTACTAAGTCCAATAGTATAGCAAATTGTAATTTTTCAAAGTTTTAGATTGTGATTAAAAAAACCTTGAAAATCACCTCAATGAGAATTACTAAAATATAATTTAATCCTAATCATAAACAAGTGTATAGAAAGAATGAGCACTGGTTAAAATTTTATAGCCATGGTGGGATACTGTATTTAGAAAAGTGCACATGTGCCCACTGGTTGCTTGGCCTAATTGCCTGTTAGTATCATTGGGAGCCCTTTGGTGTACAGTCGTTTGTAATCTTAACCTCAACATCAGCCTCATTGTCAAAGTATTTTCTGATATATTCTGCACTGGAAATGTATTTGATACTTTATCAAATCAGATTTTTAAGAATCTTCTTCATGTAACAGTTTCTGAAGAGCCAGTTGTTCTGTAAAATGACATTTAGTAATTAATGTTAAAAAGTACACTTTTAGCCTATCTAGGCGTTCATGCAAATACCAGAAAGATGCCCCCTGTAGGCAGGTGAGGCAATGTATCAGGATTTAAGAGCTAATGATGGCAAATTTACCTCTGCGCAAAGGAAAACAAAAGAAAACAACAGTGCTCCTTCCTCTTGGTGAATAATCCTTGTGTCAGAGGCCCGGTGTGAGAATATGTGATGTCACAGTTGAAAGCACGTGAGCATGCAGATGGGACCTGGATGCATTGCAGCTGTTATTTTTATGGTGTTTGACTTTGACGTCTTCAGCTCTGTGTTCCCAGATCAGAGTTATTTGGCCTTTCAGTCACATGGTAAAGGCAGGAAACATCTGTCTGGGCTATGATATCTTTTGCTGCTGCTTCCAAACGTAACTATTAGCTATCTTGCACTTATATGGTATGCTTTTAAAGATATGTCATCCTAACAAAAATCTCTGTGAAATATACATGGCATATTATCCCCATTTTATAGATAAAAGAAACTGAGGCTCACAACAAGATATGAATCTAACTATTCCAGTTCCTAGATCTTTTCTCACTCCAATACGGCCCTCTAGGGAGGCTGATGTTCATTGAGCCAAAGCATTGGTCAGGTTTTTTAGCTGACTAAGGCTTATTATTTATTTTTGAATGTCATATTGTGAAGTAAACTTATTTTTACAATTGTAAAGATGATCCTATGAATTAGATAAATTCAGTAAGTTGTCTATGGTCAAGGAACTAAAATGTATTATATTATGATCACATATTATCATTCTTGGGGGACAGTACTTTCTAAATAAATACCTGCTGAACATTTCCACTATGGGTAGCAATATCTTCCCTCCATGTAATCCATAACACAGCTATTTGTAACTTGTATCACTTTTCTATTGCTGTATAGCAAATAACCACATGATTTCTATAGAGTCAGAGACCAGGTGGGTTCAACTGGGTTCTCAACTTAGGGTTTCACAAAGCTGAAATCATGTGTCAGCGGACTGGGCTCTTACCTGATAGCTCTGGGAGTCTTACTGAATAATAAATTTTCTCTCAAACTTACATGTTATGACTCAATTTTCCTTTTATGCTTCCCTAGTATAATATGTATCATTATCCCCATTGTTCTTTAGAACCTGCCAATATGGTTATCATTGATTGCCTAATAGCCAAATTCAATGAGTACTTTTTACCTCTTATCTTCCCATGATTTATTTGTGATTTTTAACTATATTTATAATTTTTTTATTTTCTTGGAAATTTCTATTTTCTTAGCTATCATTCTAGTACTTTGGTGTGATGTATTTTATCATCTCTATCCTAAAGTATGCTTTAATTGACTCATACAGAATATATTAATAAGCAATACTTGACAGGCCGTGTGGTATTTTAGACACTAAGAATGTTGAGGATATTATTTTGCCTTTGAGGAATTGAAGAGTCTAATGCATAAGACAAGGTAAGCAGATAATTGCATTGTGGAAAATTACTGTGGCAACAGGATTTTTTAGGCACTAAAGGAACACAAATCCATTGTAATTTAATCTCTCTAAGAGGATCAGTGAGGTTTCATAGAGAGAATAGTACATGGATTCAGTCTTAAGGTGAAGGATGAGTAAAGATTGGCCAGCATATTCTGCTGTGGTTCCAAATGTGCCTGTATTAGTGTATCAGTCAGAATTTTCCAGAGAAAGAGAGCAATATGGTGTTTGTGCATGTGTGTATGTATACGTGAGTGTACAGTGTGTCTACATATGTATATATACAGAGAGCTAGAGACAGAGAGGGAGAGGGATATATTTACTACTTAAAAAGTTGGCTTACATGATTATGGAAGCTGGTGTGTCCAAAATGCATAGACTCAATATTCCACTTTGAGTCTGAAGGCTGGCAGGCTGCCACAGAACCAGGAAGAGCTGCTGTTCCACTTTCAAGGCTGTGAGGCAGGAGAATTCCCTTACTTGGAGGTAGTAAATTGATTGGATGAGGTCCACCAACAATATGAAAGGCAGCCTGCTTTACTTAGTCTATCAATTTAAATGTTAATCTCATCCAAAAGCACTCTTACAGAAACACCCAGAATAATGTACGACCAAATATCCCTGCTCCCCATGTAATAGTCCAGCCAAATTACATGCGAAATTAACCATCAATGTACTATACACTTTATCACTCACACAATTGTCCAAGTGATCATTCGTTCACAATATTTAGAT